GTGCCGTTTGGCTAATACTTTACTCGCCAAACTATTAGGTGTAAAATTCAGTTTGGAAGTGACATGAAAGCCATAAAGATCAAATTAAATGGCAGGAGTTGGTTTCCCCAGGTCACGTGATTTTTAACTTTTTGATATATTACCGGTTTGAGTATAAAGATAACTTTTACAAATTCGGCTTTTATTACACTTGGGTCCAAATGTTATTACAGATAGGATCTTTATTACGCTTGGGTTCAAAATGTTATTACGGATGGGACTCTTATTACGCTTGGGAACAAATGTTATTACAGATGGGACCTTTATTACACTTGGGTCCAGTTATTACACTTGTGCCTTCGTGGCGCTTGGTGCTGTTTATTTGTGGCCTGAGACGATGAATATATAACGGGGTCCTCGTTACAGCGGGGTTCGTTATAGCGAGGTTCCACTGTACTAGTTTACTCGATCAAATACATTAAAGGCAACATGAGTCTGATTCCTTGCATAAGTGCAACAATTCTAGCCGTTAGCGATGCAAGAAAATTAAAAAAAAGTTTCAAAACAGATTTTTAAAAACGCGAAATACAAAGGAGTCCACATAAAACTTAATATACGAGGTCAAAATGCGTCGCTCTATCCATATGCCAACTATTACGTATTCTATTGATATTCTGTGAAAATTTAAATAGAATTGATGCTCGATTTCGCCTTGAAAACAAAGAGCAAATGCAGTCTCGAATATGACGAGTTATAAATTAAAGAGGACATATGTACCCCACGATACCCTCTTTAATATAACCTAAATTGGGGCGAAAGAGAAATCCGCATATTTGCTCACCTTCAAATTCGTTTTCTTCTCGAATCCGATCAACTGCAAGATGGAATCTGTAAAGAACAGGTTTAAAAATAAGCTGCAACACAGATTCTAATTAATCTGATAACATACTTTTTAAGGTAAACTTATCTCAATTTCTAAGCTATTTGCTAGAAGGTTAAATGCAGTTTCCTTTCACTTCTATAGTCTAAACAACTCAGCTCCGTATAAAACCTTTTCCGCTTCTCCTTAGGAAAATGATTACACTTACTAAATCTTCAAATTCCACCCTTAAGATGTAAGCTTTACGTGAAATTTAAAGTGGCGTTTATCTGCCATAGTGTGCTAAAGTATACATAAAACAGCTTTATCTCTCATAAGGTGAAATTGAACCGACATACTCCACCATCTTCCTCAAAGCAAGGTCTGGAATGTTTCCTTCTCAGAGTGCTAGGCGCCTCGCTCTCGGGTTTCATCA